TTCAAAACTGAGTTTTTTTTTTCTGCATAAGGTCTACTGATTCTGAAAAAAGAGTTGGCTATGTACCTTGTTGCAGTAGAAAAGTTTTGCAAAAAATGGAAATTATTTATAAAAAAGTGGGTCTATTTCTATTTAATATATTGATCTTTTTTTCTTAACGTGGTTCTCTATGTGGTTTATGCTGCAAGGGCTTCTTGGTCTCTTACGTGATGCGATTGTGGGTACGACTATAGATGCAGACATTTGGAAGGCCAAAGTAGCTGTCACCTTCACGTCATATAAAATTCGGGTAATGACATGAATAGAACAAATTTTCTCTTTTAAACACAAATAATGGAGTAAAAACGCGTTCTAAACTATACTTGATTACGATATGTCAAAGTGGTGGAGTGCCGGAAAAAATTTTAAAGTAGTAAATCAAGGTTTTATTTCAATAAGGTTGAACTTATCTCAGAGTGTTGGAAACAATCACACATAAAATGGGGCAATGTAGACGTTTGGAACCGCTTCTATTTCAATAAATATCCAAGAGCGACTATACAAAAGTCACATAATGATTTAAATACCGAATTAAGAATTCTCATTGAGAATTTAAGAAGTGGCGGAGCATCCAAGAAAGCAATAGCGATGCAAAGTGATTTAAAGGTCGATATATCCCAGGGACGACGATTTTCTGTGGTGATTAATTTCTGCAATAATTCGCAATAATAAATATTTTATTTTTACGCGGAAGAATTATCACAGAAATTAATCACCGCAGAAAATCATCGTCCCTGATGTACTCTTTGAAAATTCCTGAGTGGGAATTGTGAATGTGCTATGCCCTGTTCTATTCAGGGTTGGCATTGGACAATGTCCAAATAAATTTACTTGGACTTTTGGACTATGTCCAATTTGTCCAGTATGCCCAAATAATTTTTTGGACTTTTAGGCATCGAACAATGTCCAAAAGATTACAAAATTAATTGGACGTATGTTCAATTATCCAATAATTTTATTGGATAGTTTTAATAAAATTTTATGTTCAAAGTTTGATATTACTATATAAAAGTAATAATTATACACTGAGTGTCATGGTATAAGAGAAAATGAAAATTCTGCTTAAACACAGAACCATATAGGACCCCGAATAATTATAATAGATGTTATATTCCATTAACAATTTTTCTGCAGTTTGATTGGATATAAAAATTTTTAGCCAATTAAATTGCTTGATTTTGCAATCTGTTAGCTATTGTTCGGGCTCCTACCAGTATATAACTGATTTATACCTTGCAATCTTGATATAGTGACCAGGGTGTAATACTGTAGCAGCAAGAAATTATATTACAGCTTATCATATTGAAAATTTTAATTTTACTAGCGTAAATAATATATTGATACTGTATATATACACCTCCCATATAATTACACCATATGTAATCACATTTTTATTTAGACTAAACTATACATTTTT